CAATAATTGTCTGCGGCTATTCGAGTGCGTTCCGTCCCGTCAGTACACGGGTTGTTTACTTTGGCGGCATCGTGCGGTGCGGTGGCTGCGTGGATTTTTTTTTCTTCTTTCGCGTAACACTTTTTTCTGCTTGGTCAGTGCGACCGACTTGGCGAACGAGATGTTGCGGCGTTGCAAGTTTGCGCAGCGAAATCGACGGATCTCGGTGATTCGAACGGATATCCCGATGCGATTTTGCAACGTCGCAACGGCGCAGCTGGACTCCAGTGTCGCTTTCGTCGCATCTGCAACACGCCGCTCCGACGCGCTGCGCCGCTTTATAGCTTTCGTCTCTGTCCGTTGCCTTTCCAGGGAAAAATCCTGGGGAATATGTTTCGGTCACGAAGGGTTTTAGACGGAGGAAAAGAAGAGAGATTCTCGAGCATTTCCGTTCTGGTTCTTTTTCTTATGGCTGTGTCACTATTTTTATTTATTTACTTTTTTGTATGCTTTGGATGTAATATCAAAGAGTTCTTAAACTATTTATCACGGCGCACACTGGCTCAAGTCAGTAGGAGAAGTCGTACAAAGAAAATCTGGAAACTTTGAAAGCTTATATTTTCAAAAATATGAAACAAAAAAGTTTAAGAGTGGCTTCATTGGTAGCCAAACTTTAATATCCGACCTCTTCCTCCATCTCGTTCCACTGTGTGGCGCCTATATTTTAAGAGATGTCAGCCAAAGCCAATGAACATAATCAAGATTTATGAAACATTAATTGTTTCATGTTTACGCTCAGACATCTGAAAGCTCATCTTTTTTTTTTTTTTTTTTTTNTTTTTTTTTTTTTTTTTTTTTTTTTTTTTTTTTTTTTTTTTTTTTTTTTTTTTTCTCTTTCAAATATCTGGATTGTTATCTTTAGAGTTTTCGCCACGCGAGTACTGCACAGAATGTTTAAAATGCCATGAGCTTTGCTGAAGTTCAGTTGTAAAGCTTGGGAAAAACTACATACCTGTCGGAAAGTTCTTTAACTAAAAACCTTGGAAAATGTTAGTACATAAGCAGACCGGAAATAATGTACTCACAAGAAAAGGGCTTTGGCTGCTGGTCATGAGATGTCAGTGGAAGTCGTAATCTTTTAGATTAACCACCATCTCCAAATTTCGATTAGCGCGAAACCCTTCGAATAGGTTTCCGACCGCACGCAGTCTCGCAAAGTGCGCAATCAGCTTTTATACCCCCTCCCTTTACGTATGCACCCTTGACGGAGGCAAACAGACAGCCATGCAGCCAAGGAAAGTGAATTGGGAATAGGGAGGCCCAGGCAGCCCGGGGATTAAAGCGAGCCAGACGAACGGAGGGGATTAAAAAACTGGAGGGAAGATGTATGTACAGAAGGATTAGGGAGGGAAATACACGGGCGCGGTGAAAACAATGCGCGGAGGGCTTTTGAAGAACCGTTTAGGGGAGGTCAACACTCATCAACTCCCGGGCGCGATGCCGCCGCCCGACGGGTGCCCTGCTCTACCGCGCGAAGGTAAAACGCCGTATGAACTTTCGAGAGTTGCCGAATATCTTCTGTTAAAATATGATGTATTTCTGAGAAAAATATGCGTTTTTCCTCGAAATTTTCAGGTATTTTAGTCTAAATTGCGAACAAAATCGTCTAAAAATTTTGGAGAAAAATTGTGATAATTGTCCCAGTAAATTCGGTTTTTTATTGAAGGAAATATGACAACGTCTGAAGGCTCATACGGCGTTCTTCCTTAGCACGATAGTGCTGCGATCCGCCCCTTTCCCTTTTTTCAGCCGCGGTGACCGCACCGCAGACTATACGCGATGGATTTTTACATAATCGAGCGAAAAATTTTCGATGAAGAATTTGGCAGAAAAACCTCCCCTTTATCGCTGTTTATGATGATTGATGATGTGCGTCGTCTCATTTCTACGGTCAATGTCAGTGACGTGGCGTGAATTGCGATGTATCGATTGTTATGCCATTTAAACCTATGGTAAAGAATCGATTATTAAGGTGTTCGCTGCGAACACCCTGTTTATCGATCCGTCTTCATATAGGTTTAAATGGCATAACAATCGATATATCGCAAAGCACGCCACGCCACTGGTCAATGTAACCCAAATAAAAACCACCCAAAAAATTTGCACTGCACGTTTAGGTCTTTTTCTGTTCTACTTCCCATAATAACTGAAAATGCACCGCGTTAAGCAGAAAGGAACCAAGCCACATTAGCTATTGCTAAATTTGATTGAGCAGTTAAATGTCTTTCATTAAATCAGTCGTGCGGATTTTTGTGCAATTTTCAGTTAATTTTCTGCACTGTCTGAAAAAAATTCCTTAAAATGTTCAAAGGAATCCGCAGAAAAGTTCTCTTCTAAAAAATTAAATCGCTCAATTTAGATTGACCCTAATTGTAAAATACCTTCATCCACTACAGTTCTAGTGTACTCAATAAAGTGGATCCTGTTAAGCAGAGAGGAACCAAGCCACATCAGACGACGTAACGGCAAAGAAAATCCGGGTGCCTTCAATGTAGGCGTATGCAACACGGAGGTCCATTGAGTACGAATAGTTGTATTCGAAGTATGAACAGTTGTATGCATCTGCAGTTGAAGGCGCTTCCGTTGTTACACCTACCGGCTTAATTAATTGTGGGCGGGGGTTTCTCTCTTGTAGTGTCGGAGCAAGGTTAAATGGACCGTGTTTAAGAGAAAGGAACCAAGCCACATCAGCTATTGCTTAATTTGACTGAGCAGTTAAATGTTTTTCATGAAATCAGTCGTGCGGATTTTTGTGCAAATTTCAGTGAATTTTCCGCGTAGTCCGCAGCAAATCCCTTAAACTTTTCAAAGGAATTCGCACAAACGTTCTCTCGTAAAATAATAAATCACCCAATTAAATTCAGCAATAGCTAATGTTCCTTGGTTCCTTTCTGCTAAACGCGGTCCAAGTTTCGGTTACGTTTTCTCGCTACGGAGACAGCCGACGTCGTTTCGACGTGTGACGTCAAGA